AAGATACGAAATATTTGAATTTATTAACAATGTACGTAAAAAAAAAAATGTTGTGGAAGTACAATTAATATAATTATTCTATAATTAACAAAAAAAATTTATTTGGTAATATTATGTGTATCTTTAGCAAGTAATTAAAATTAATTAATAATTTTTATTTATTTTTTCTTCATAAGTACATTTTGTTATTTTAAAAAAGTCAACCATGTATTTACTTTCTTAAAACAAAGTCAAATATATATTTTAATAGATTTTGTGGTTTTTTTTTAAATATGATATTTTCCATATATATATATATATATAATTCCTCACCACTAATTTTCTCCCTCGCTCTCTTTCTAATCTTCAACATGGAGGAAAAATTACTACACGGCCCGAACATATCATTCTAAGAGCAGTGGATTTCTGGATTCATGGAGAAAGAACCGCTTCTCTCATTTTCCAGCCCAAGAATGAAACCCTCACCTCCTCTCTTTACTCTCCCGGAGGAAGATGAAATCTCCATACCAATGCCTATCAGCCCATCACAGCTCAAAGACCGCCTCATCTTTGGCCCTTGTTCTTCTCCACGAGATTCATCTCCCATTGTTGATGCTTTAACTTTGTCCTTAAATTCCCAAAAATCCTCCGCCATACCTTCACCTCCTTCTTCTTCTTTTTCACAAGAACCGCCCCCAATTCAAGACCCAGTTTCTGTTTTAGAACCATTCATACCCAAACAGCAACTCCAACAAGAGCAGCAGCAACAGCAACAATCGCAGTTACAATCACCACAAGCTTGGTTGATTGATCCTAATTGTCCATGGACCAAGAGTAATCTCCACAGGTCCAAAACTGCACCCGCCATGGCGGTTCTCAGTGATGTGATTCATCCTCCAATTACGAAACCCAAATTCGCCACACAGTCTATTATTAGGCAAGCCTTTGTTCTCTTGGTGTTGTATTTGTCATTGGGAGTGTTTATATATTGGTTTAATCGTGATAATTTCATTGTTCACGAGACTCATCCTGTTGTTGATGCATTGTATTTTTGTATTGTGACGATGTGCACAATTGGGTATGGTGATATTACCCCTAATAATGTGTCTACCAAGTTGTTTTCTATAATGTTTGTGTTGGTGGGATTTGGGTTTATCGATATATTGCTTAGCGGGATGGTAAGCTATGTGCTTGATTTGCAAGAGAACTACATGTTAAGAGCCGTTAAGCGTGGGACTCAGAAGGATAATGCAGGGTCATACATCATTGATGTGAAGAAAGGGAGAATGAGGATAAGGATGAAGGTGGCATTGGCATTGGGTGTTGTGGTGCTTTGCATTGGAGTTGGTGTCAGTATTATGCATTTTGTTGAGAGGCTTGGATGGTTAGATTCATTTTACCTTTCTGTTATGTCAGTGACAACAGTTGGGTATGGTGACAGGGCCTTTAAGACTTTGTCAGGTCGAATTTTTGCTTCAATTTGGTTGCTTGTCTCTACCCTTGCGGTTGCACGAGCATTTTTGTATTTGGTTGAGGCTAGGGTGGATAAGCGGCATAGGACGATGGCAAAGTGGGTACTTGGTCAGGACATGAC